GAAGTGGACTATATGTTGATCAACAGATGAATGGATACAGAAAATGTGTTGTTTACACATAATGAAGTACTACTCTGTAGTAAAGAAGGACAAACTTCAGTCATTTGTCCATTGTAGGAAAATAGATGTATCTTGGTACCATAATGTTAAGTGAAATAAATCAGACACACAATATTAAATATCACATGGTTTCTCTTACATGAGAAACACAAAATACAAATAAAGAGCAAAATAAAACACAGCTAATAAGAAGTAGGGAGACAGATCTTTCTCAAATGGGAAGTGGACCAGGAGATGAGGGAGGGGAACAGAGGGAAAGAGGAGAGTGAAAAGAGAACTGAGCCATGTCCTGTCCAAAAGAGGCATGGTCCCTGTGTACTGCAGACAGGGACTAAGGAACATAAAAACTGAAATTCAGTAAATAAATAGCACCTACGAAAACCCTAAAAAGCATGTTTGTGTCGAATCTTGTCAGTGCAGCTGAACTTTCTACATGACAGTATAACAGTAAATACCAAAGGATTTCTCTTTAAAATAAGATTTAAAAAACAATTCAATTACAAAAAGTGTCTTCAAATGCCATGTCCTCATTTCTAAAAATAAAATGTAGACAACATTTAATACTGTTAGTTTATGGGGCATCAAATAAATTTTTAGAAAAGGCACATTACGGGGGTAACACTCCTGTTTATTTTTTAGGAGTATTTTTACTGGTACATTATTAATTTTTCTATTTTATGAGTTTTATATTGAAACATATTACTTAATTGGAAAATAAAATAGCAATAAAATAAAATATTAAATTTTTAATATGTAACGAGTATGCAGAATAAACATCAACTTTTTCAACATCAACTTACCTGCTTACAAGACCTAAAAAATAACAGCAGAAATGAATTTCTATGTCTTCTACAGTGCAAATACAAACAAAACTCTACCACAGAAATAATCTTTCCTTCGTTATCGCATCAAAAGCATCTGACAGCAGCACGTGTCATACACGACTCTCACACTGACAGCACGTGTGTGTACCTTTACTTTCCAGTTTGACAATCATATTTGTCACCTCATCTTCCTCTTTGGTCAGGAACTTCCTATTATATTATACAGTGTGCACTGAGCAAGGAAATGAAATATTAATAAAGTAAAATATCAAATGTGTAATGAGTGTTTAGAATCAACACGTTCTACATCAACTGTTTGCTTGCTAAGTCTAAAAAAATCAAACAAATAAATACCTATGTGAACCACAATGAAAATACAAACAAAACTCTACCACAGAAATAATCTGTGCTTCAGTTTTCACACCGAAGGCAGTCTTCACACATGACACCCTGACAGCACGTGTGTTTTGTTTTCCTGTCTTTTCTGGTAGGACATACTTGACTTCTTGCTGGTCTTCCTGTTTCCTTAGGAGGTTCTCATGATGTCTCAACTGTGTGTTCATTGGTCTGCTACAGAATTCACTGGCAGAGTTCTCTGGGCAGATACATATTGTTCTTTCTCTGTTATAGTTATTCATTGATCACTTCCAGTCCCAGCCCTCCAAGACAATTTCTCCGTGATATTTTGTGATTGTTATTTTCTTTGTAAATTGAAACTTTCTGCCTGACATTAGGATTGAGTAAAACACGACCATTGCCCAACACTTTGTGTTTCAAGTGAAATCACAGTTGCTGCAAAACTTGTCGAAACATCTACTCTGCCTTTCATTTTGTTGTAAATTGTGACCATTTCTGGCTTCACTTGTGTTGAGGATTCACTATCCATCTTTTTTGTTGCTGTTTTGGTTTTGAGACAGCGTCTCGCTATGTAATACAGGCTGACCTTGAACTCACAGGATCCTCCTGCCTCAGCCTTCGAGTGCTGGGGTTATAGGTGTGCACCACCATGCCCCATGCCCCACTTCACTATCAATCTCATAATCGTTGTGTGATGTTGAAAGTATAAGGGACCATTTTCATCTTCAGAATTAAGGATTACTTTAATCTTACATCATTGCCTTTTCTCTTTTATTTTCCTTTTTATTTTAGGATTCCCTATTTTTAATGTTCATACAGAGATTTCTTTAACTGAAATACCAAATAGTTTCTCTGGTGTTAAAAAGTATACTAGTACACAGGATCCTAATAAGATAATTAATAATGTGAAATAGGAAGTAAAGGGCTAAAGGTGTGGGGAAAGCGGGAAGGGTGGGGGAAAGGTAATAAGGGAGAGGAAAAAAATATGAGAAATTGAAAAAATGGAAATAAAGTATTTGTAAATGGAGAGGGGAGGAGGGGGTGAAGGGAGGGCAGGGACAAGGGGAAAAAATGAGACTCGAGACCTATTATGTAAAGGTACAGAATCCCATGATGAATGTAACTGTACTGAATACCTAGATTGTACCAATAGACTCAATAAAAAGGAAAATAAATAAATTAATTAATTTTTTTTAAAAAAGTATCAACACTTTGTCTTTCTTCACCACTAGGAGGCCAATGTTACATTTTTCTGAAATCCAAAGATTGTACTGTGCATTTCTCTATTGTGAACTTGCAACATTTTTAGGGAGGCTTTGCTTTTCTCTGGTGTACAGTTGCTGAGCTGGTCACCTGGTGTTCTTTTAGCAGATGTGACGTCAGTGGGAGACTACTAAACTGACGTCGAGTGTGAGCTCCGGGTTACTTTCTGAAATAGGTGCAGCGAGTCTGCTTGCAGCGTCACACGGATTATTGCTGCACCAGCACAGACCTGGTGGCTGAGTTCCAGGATAGATTTCTAAATTAGGGTGTGAAATGTCTTCCCATCTACCAGGGCGTATTTTTTATACCATACTTGGAAGGTTTACTTGGCACATATACCCGAAAGCTTCAACAGCCATGAAATGATGCAAGTTTTCATCACTTGTCATGTATTCACACAGTGTGTAAATTGCCTGACAGTTAGAAACAAAGGAAGAGATGAGCAAAGGGCAGCCAAATTGTCAGATTTTTTTTCTTTCTTTCTTGATGGGTCTTTTTGTCATTAAAATGTAGGCAATTTTAAAGGAAACCAAATCTTTTGAGTGTCACTATTCTAAAAATCTCAATGCCACATCAGTCACTTCTTCATAAATCCTTTAGATTTTCATGATTACAGTGATAAAGTCCTCCTGTGAGAGCTTTTAGTCAGACAGGGATGTGTTGTGATCAACATATTTTTGAGTAGTACTACTAGTGCATATATAGTGTTTTACTTGTGTTTCATTATTAGTGTATTTCTCAACATCTTGTAGCAACTCATCGATTAGAAACGGGCCAGAGATTTAGCTCAATGGTTCCACCACCTGTCTTGCAAGCTCAAGGAAAGGAGTTCAATCCCTGGTATCAAAAAAAAAAAAAAAAAAAAAAAAAAAAAAAAAA